ACATGGACATGCTCATTCATTTACATTTTTCTGTGGCTGATTTTACTTTACAGTGGCATAGTTGAGTAGTTGCAAGAGAAGCTGAAATAAACTTGAAATATTTACTATCTGGCCCTTTAAAGAAAATGTTTGCCAATCCCTGGTCTAAACTAGCAATTCTTGCAAGTAGGAAGGAGGGAAGGGACTTCTAATAATAGTTTTAAGCAGTTATGTCTGGAGAAATTGCCTTACTGGTAAATGACTGAAACTTTTCCCATATTAGCATTGTCTTCACTAATTGTTACTTTTCAGTAATTATCCAAGAAGAGGAAGGTATAATTAATCAGGGGAAGCTCCTTTGAATTGCCACTCTGGATGAACTGCTTGGTTGTTGGGAGTAGTGTTAAAATGACATGGGGCTTAAAATATTGGCTTTGTTGATCTAGGTGCAAAAGTATACCTAGAACTAGTGAAGCTGGAGAACTCTATAGCTCTTTATATGTTAACAACAAAAAAAAAGGAAAAAAAAACCCAAAGCAATATAAAGATGAGATTTAGGTTTAAGGAAATTAGAAGGCTAATGTGGCAACAAATTGCAGCCCTTGAGGCGAGATGATCCCGTGAAGGGGAGGGTTCAGGGATATTAAGGGTATACAGGTAGAGTCCAATGCACGAGACTATGAACCATTCTGTTCAGGACTTATCCCCCTCCATGCTTTTACTTGAATATTTTACTGGGTTGGTATGTTGAGCGGCTGAGAGGATGGTGGAAGCTTGTGTGAATTGCATCAGTAGGATTCCGGTTTCTGGCTGTTGAACTGGTGACAGAGATGGATTATTGATTTCCTTTCTTTGTCTTAATTTCTGTTTGTCAGGAACTACAGCAGAAAAGCCTTCTTTAGGCTAACTTGGGTGAGTTGTTTATGGGACTTCTCCCACTTGGGTGGGAAGTTTGGGTGAGAAGTGTGTGCATGCTTGTGTATGTGTGCACCTCAGTTTTTAAAACTTTTCTGTCCTCCAGGTTATCCTACCTACAAAGAAAAAGTAAAGAAAAGGCCTGGAGGCCGCCCAGAAGTGATTTACAACTATGTCCAAAGACCCTTTATTCGAATGTCTTGGGAGAAGGAAGAAGGAAAGAGTCGGCATGTAGACTTTCAATGTGTGAAGAGTAAATCTATCACCAATCTTGCAGCAGCTGCTGCAGACATTCCCCAGGACCAGCTGGTGGTCCTGCACCCAACTCCGCAGGTGGATGAGCTGGATATCCTCCCCATCCATCCCCCTTCTGGCAACAACGACCTCGATCCTGATGCACAGAATCCGATGCTGTGATGCTGATGTTCCTTGAAACCATAGCATGCTACTCGTCACGGTGACGCTGCACTCTCCTCATTCTGCACTGCAAGGCCACTCTTTTCATCGTGAGATGCACATGACCATGTTTAGGATATTGCAGTGTAGGCCAAAGGTAGCTGAATGGTTTTTAAAAAGACCAAAGGTTCCAGTTATATAAATGTAGCTGAATGGTTTTTTAAGTGGTAAAGATTGGCAGCTGGGGTATTTTCAGCTTATATTGATATTCATCACACCCCAGGTAAAATGTAGAATATTATATAGGTGCACTTTATAAATGGTGGTTAAATGGAACTGTTCAAGCCATTTTTATAGTTGTGATGCACAATATAACTGAAATAAGTGCTTCTATCAAAGTATTCCTTCAGTAAAATGTGTATAGTTTGCTGCCCATGATGGGCAAAAAGGAGTATTTATCATTGGGCTTATTTGATTGATTAGGAGGAGATCTAATGCCCATATCTTATTTCTCTCCAGTGCTGTTTTTGCCCTTTTAGAGTGAGTCACATGCAGGAAGTGTGAACATCAGAGGTGGTTTATTATCCAGTCTGCCTTACCCTTAATCTGTCTTTGGGCCACCTACAACAAAGGAATCTGAGAGTGGGAAAGGGGAACCAAGGAAGAAATGCTATTGTGAGTTAAAACCAGTTCATCTTGTGATCCACTTGAAGTTTAACCCTTAGGGTTATGCCCTAAGGGACAGCAGAGCTGCAGCTTGTCAGGAAAAGTCATTCCAGCAGAAGGCTCAAGTTTGCGTCCAGGATCAGAGGCCAAAGCAAGGGCTCTGGTTCCCCTCACGCGCTCAACATCCATTTACCGACTACCGCGGTACAGCAAGCCAGGGTCCCAGAGGTAAGTCGGCAGCTCTGCCCCCAAGGAGCTCACAGTCTAACAGGGAGACAAGATGAACAATGGCTGGAACAAAGTGTGGTAAGTTTGACAGGTAAGTACAAGGCACCCAACTCCTCCAGGCCCAGGTACAGCTTCCCGGGCAAGTTTAACACTGAGCTGAGTCTTGAGAGAGGAGTAGAAATTAGCTGAGCAGAGAGGTAGGGAGGGCAAGGCGTTCCATGCACAGCAACCAATATGCGCAAGAGCACTGAGGGAGGACACAACTTGGGAGACTACTCCAAGAACTTCATCATGAACGACGACAAAAGAGTGACAGATGAAACTGGAGGAGGTACCTGGATGAAAGGTCCTGGATGCCATACTAATGGATTTAGACAGGATCCAGAGATAAGGCGTGCTGCCAAACACTTCGCACAGAAAGGCACTTAGGGTTACTGGGAAGTCCACTGCGTGGAGCGTGAACTACAGCGGAGGAAAGGGGTTGGGTGGGGGAGTAAGACTACGATTAAACAATTCTCTGCAACAATCCGGGCGACAGATGGGAGGGAGATGGAGAAGTCTAAGAGGGGCAGAAGGGACAGGATCTCGTGCTCAGAACAGGCAAGAAGGAAGAGTCAAGGTTTCTGGCTTAACCAACCAGATGAAGGAGTGCAGAGAATCGGTTTGGAGAGGCTAAATTTCAGGTGCTTTTGAGACTCCAGGTGGCTCTGTCCAGGAGGCAGTTGGAGAGACAGACCTATGGCTCCAGAGACAGAGAGATCAGAGGTAAGAGTCAGTGGTGGAGAGGAGGGGACTGAAGGAAGCCATGCAAGCAGAGGTGGTGCCGTGGAAGGGTACGTCAGGTGCAGAGGCCAGGGCCAAGCCCAGAGGGAGCCCCGCTGACAGACACCCTCCTCCCCCCCAGGAGCCAGTGACAGTACCAAAAAGCACAACATCCCAGCACTGGGCAACACGGAGGAAAGCCCAAGAGGAGCAACGAGTTTCCTATTTCAAGGGCTTCCAAGGTCCCAGTAACCTTGGAACGAGCTCTCAGTATTCCAGGCTCCACAGAGAAAGTGAGAGGACGTCGTTAGGGCTCATCTCCTTGAAGCCTCCCTTCCATAAAATATGGGGGCTGGGGACACCAAATAGTTGGGGCGGGGGGTACACTGGCCACGAGCAGCTTCTCATGGGCAAGCCCCGATGCCCCTGCCATACATAGTTACCTTCTCCAGAGGGCAGCATGCTGTCCATGCTGTGGGGGACGCTGTGAGCTGCGGGAAGGTTGGGTCCCCGCCTTCCAGGACGTTGGCTCTGTGAACATCCCAGCAATAAGGAAACATGAGTCAGGCCTGCTCAGAACCGTGCACCTTTCACCTTGGCCAAGGTGTCCAGTGTCCACTCTGGACCTGGACAGGCCAGAAAGTGAAGTGTCTGCCTGAGTGGCTCAGCAGGTCTCCTCGCTGTTCGAGAACACGGTGGACAGCATCCCGGCCTTTGGCCTCATTGCCTGCCTGGGCCTTCCTGGTTTGTAGGGGACAGAGTCCGGCAGAGAAGGTGACTGCAGCCGCCCACTGCCATCGCTACGGGGCCTCCTCTCCTGCCAGTCTGCAGGGACCTAGCCCTGGCCCCTCACTCCGCTCTGGCCACAGGTGGGGGTCTGGACACCATGGGGAAGGAGATGCGGGGAGCAGTCCTTGCCCAAGAGGGGCCTTCCCTGCTCGCCTGGCAGGTGGCGGCCTCTGAGGCGGGCTTCGGGCTGCCAGCGCTCGGGCGGCCAGCCTGGCGGGCACGGGGGCCCTGAGCCAAGGCCAGTATGAGGCGGCACCCGGGCGAGCGCCCTGGGCTGTCGGCCCCTGCACGGCAGCACCCAGGCGCCCAGCGTGCAGGGCCTTCGGGCACCAAAAGCTACTGCCGTATCGGGAAGGAACGGTTGCTGCTCCCGGGGCAATTCCCCGAGCCGGGGCCTGCACGGCGTGCGCGTCGAAGCGTGTTCTTGGTTACCGGCCCCTTTGGCCTCTGCCCACCCCGAGGCCTCCCAGGATCTGGGCAGGGTCGCCTTAGAGGGTGCGCCACTGGCTGCCGCCTGCGCCCGCCTTCCCAGGTAAGGAGCCGGGCCTTCGTCCTGGACGCCAGAGAGCCTCCCGGGCGGGGAGACACTTACAAGACGGCAGTGTCGGTTGACACGATGTACTCTGCTTCCTCGGTCCAAGGGTTCATGGGACGGAACCATCGACTCCGGAGCGTGATGAAAGAACCATCTTTGACTTTAAACTTCTGGCAATTAGTCGTGATCTTTTCTCTCGTCTGTAAAACTGAAAATGCAAAGAAACCGTGAATCTTGCTTCCTGAGACCAACGCAGTGAACTAAGCAAACCCTACGTGTGCCGGGGCCCCGCTGCCGCCACCCTTCAAGGGGCTCGTGCTCTGCGACGGAGGCGCCCGGGCCTGCCGCGCTGCTCACGCTGCGCCACGGGGGCGGGCGCTCGGGCTGGGCTGCTTCTGAGGCCTTGACTCGCAGCCTTTCGATTCATCCGTGAATCTCCCGCTGTTGTTCAGCGTAGGAACTGCAGGCGCCAGGGAACAACTGCAATTCAGACGCGTGGCCGGGACCCGCTGTGAAGGGAGCCACAAGCGTCCAAAGGGCCCCTGTTCCTTCCCCATCACAAAGCCAGAGGGCAGGGCAGCACTTTTAGGACATCTGAAGCCCGGGACGTCACTCACCTAGTCACATCTCATTATTTTATATGACGAACATGGAACAAGCGCCTTTCATGTGCCAGGCAGGCACTGGGGATGGAGGGGGCGGTGCATGACCCCTGCCCTCAGGACAGGAATGAGGAGCGGCTACGCAGAGGAAGGAGGGTTACAAGTGTGTCGGAGGGAGGGAGGGAAGGACTCAGCAGTGCCCCACAAGTGGCAGGGCCTGGTGGGGGTGAAGCTGAGGAGGGCCTTGAACACTGGTCAAAGGCCTGGAGTCTAAAGGCCATAGGTTCAGGCAGGGATGTGACATTATCGAGCTCAACCTGTTGGGGCATAAATGGGACAAGTATGAAACATGGAAGGGGCTGGGGGCAGAAGGGAGCAGGGAGGCCTGCTAGGAGTCGATCACAATTATGGGTTGGGCACAAGGGCCTGAGTCAGGGCTGTGGCAGTGGAGGTACAACAAGGGGCCTCTTTGGAAGTGCAGGTCTGAGGTGAACCAACGGGACACAGAGGGAAGGGGTCAGTACTGGTCCCTCCCAGGAGGCTAGTCTGTGCCGGTGCCAAAAGTCAAGGGAAAATACAGAAGGCACTGCGGGTTTTTATGGAAAAGAGAATCAGATTTGTTTGAGCTAAATCTTTACAGCGTTCCTGTAAATCCTCTGAACAAGAGAGACTTTCCAGAAACTGCACTGTCCTAAGTACAGAAAAATGCTAGGCAGGCCGAGGTGGGTTCTCCTTGAGGGGATAAACAGGGCCTGGGAACACCAGCCTCGTCACCTCAGAGATGTTGGCTTCGAGACCTCTGGGCTGGCTGACCCCCACGTCACCAGGGGGTCTGGTAAACCAGATTTCTCTGGAACGTTTATGCGGACTAGTTTTGAAGCAGGGGGACACCCTGACCTTAAAACCTTTCGTACAGCCCAGCTTACCTGGCCTGTGACATTCTGCAAGTTGTCCTATGTCGTCTTGGTGAAAGTACTCATAACATGATGTGCCTAGAAGTTCTTGTGGTAAATATGCCAAAATAGCTGTTGCCCTAGAATATTAAAAAAAAAAAAGTTATTGAGATGGTTTCTGCTCAGTGGATGAACCCCGCCAGAGCTGATGAGAACAAGGTCCACCCTGGATGGCCTTCCAGAGGGCTTACTAGGTGGATATGAATATATATATATTCATAAAATATATATATATATATATATTTTTGGTGCAACTGAACTTAACCAACACTATAAAAGCAGAGGGAAAAGAAAGGAAAGAAGCCTTTCAAAGGGGCTGTTTTCCAACAAAGGAGGCTTAAAATGTAACCATATTAGCCAAAAATGTGATAGAATTCCAAACCCCAGGGCAAACCTTCTCTATCTCACTACATTTTTTTTTAATCAGGATGATCAAACATCAGAAGCTCCAGTGGCAGGGGACACAAGAGCCCTGGAAAATGGTGGTGTCTTTTTCTAGTATGTAGTGATTATTTCTAATAGCCAGAAAAATAATCAGCCGGTGAATATTCTCAAGGAGACAGCAGAGAGCAGTGGCAAACTTGGGACATCTGGGTTCTTGGCTCAGGTCTAGTACCGCTCAGCTGTGAATGGGAGGGGGCCAGTCATCGGGGGGCCCCAGTTCCTCATCTATTAAGAGTGAGACTGGACTAGGTCAGTGTTGCTGATGGAGCTTTCTGTAGTGGCGATGTGCTAGGCCTGTGCCCTCAGCCTCATGTAGCTGAGCACCTGCAGTGTGCCTAGGGAGCCGGACACCTCTGAGTGTAGTTTCAATTAAAACTTGAATAGCCGGGCAGCCCGGGTGGCTCAGCGGTTTGGCACCGCCTTCAGCCCAGGGCCTGATCCTGGAGACCCGGGATCGAGTCCCATGTCGGGCTCCCTGCATGGAGCCTGCTTCTCCCTCTGCCTATGTCTCTGCCTCTCTCTCTCTCTCTCTCTCTGTATCTCTCATGAGTAAATAAATAAAATCTTAAAAAAAAAAACTTGAATAGCCGTGTGAGATTGCTATAGCCAACGTCCACTGTACCAGACAGCTCAGGACTAGATCATCTTTCCAAGCCCCACAGTCCAGAATTCTGATCTCAGCTGTGGTCCTGAACCTTCCACCCGCCCTCAGACAGCATACCAGGCCTATCATTTCTCCCCTGGCCATGGACCTCCGACCGTGACGATGTCTCCTTAACTGTCGCTACACGCCAAAGAGCATTAGAGAGAAAAATCTCTGTTTATGATGACATTCGGATGGGTCTCATTTTTTAGCAGAGATCCCCATCGCTTCCTTCTCTCTTTACCCTCAGGGAAGCCAGCTGATGGCCCAGCCTTCTCTGCTTTACTCAGAGGTGAAAATCTTGTACCATTATTGTTCAAGGGTAGTTCGCAGACTCTTACCTCTGGTCTACAAAAACAAACTTCCCATCTATCGCATGCCGAGACACATATTCCATGGATTTCACCCTGATGTCCCCGTTCACCGGCTGTGGGACCACGTGACAATGCAGGCGTCCAATGGTGACAAGGCAGCTGAGGTTACAGCCCTCGTTGTCTGGTTCGCTGTCCTCGTCCAGCCCCATCTTTGTGGGTGGCCAGCTCTTCAGGTACCCTGTGCTGTGGATGGTGCAGAAGCTCTTTCGATCTGCTAGAAAGCAAAGTCCATGGTCAGTGACAGGACGGCTCTGGGCAAGCAGGCATGGGCAGCCTGTGGTGGGCCGGGATGTGGGAAGGGAGTCAAAAAGTGAACAAAGCTCTACTCTCTGGAAGGGAGAACTGGCAAGAGAGGAAGATTTAGAAGCAGACAGCTATCATCCTGGGGCCTACGTGTGGAGCACGACCGGTTATGCCAAGGCCATCGCATATACCAAGGAAGGAGTCACTCAATCTACCTGGGGAGAGGAGAGCCGCCCAGGAAAACCACGTAGGGGTGATCAAGAAGGATGAGCACTGGCTAAGGGACTAGGATGTACGAAGGTTGAGAAGGTACAAAGCACAGAGGCACGTCCCATCCCCGTACAAGAAACAATAGGGAGATCGGTGTGGTTGAAGTGGAAAGGGAGGGGCTGGAGGTGGAGCTGGAACGGTGAGTTGGGGGCAGATTATTGGGGTCTTAGACTGTTTGCTAACAAATACGTGTTTATCAGACAAGAAATGGAGAGCTTCTGAAGGTATTTAAGTGGAGAAACAGCAAAGGAAATGGTGGTTTGGATACCCTAGGAGCAGAGCGATAGGTAAACCGGAAGAGCAAGGAGCACACAGAGTAAGACAAGGACACAGCAAGAGGTGGTGAGGATGTGCTCTGGCCCCGCAGGGAGGACGAGGAGGCCGGGAGGTTCCTGAGAACTCGTGAGGTCTGGCGGGAATATCAAAACATTTGGTATGAAGAAAGAAAACGAAGGGGACTCCACCTTTCTTGGATTGAATGTTTGCTGCTGCTCAGGGACTCGGAGAAGAGAGGACATGGAGTCTGCCTTAGAGAAGAGGGAGAAGGATTTCACCTGGACACATTCCGTGCAGAACAGCTGTGGAGTTCAACAACGAGCACATCCTTACGGGGCGCTCACTGAGCATCAGGTCCGGGGTAGTCACCGGAAGACCAATCGGACGTGCCGCACGGAGCACACAGACTCAAGCGTATGAATGAGTGCACAGTGCAACTGCAAGAAAGTGCTAGCAAGGGCACCTGCAGGGGCTACAGGAGGGCCCGGGGTGGCCTGACCCCGATGCCAGGCTCTAAAGGAGAAGGCCAGCCAGCTGGCTGAAGGGAGCCGACGGACAGGCGTGGGGGGCAGGCGTTCCAGTTGGAGACCACGGCAGAAAGGGGGAGGAGGCATCGAAAGGAAGTCGCCACAGCTGAACATGTGGAGTGGGGGCGGTCGCGGTCGCGTTAAGGACTCCTGACTTTTCTCCAAGAGCAATGGGAAACACTATAGGGTTTTAAGTAGGGAACCAATAGACAGGTTTGCTTTAAAAAGATCATTCTGGCTGCTGTGTGGAGAGAAGGCAAGTGTGAGGAGCCTACTCCACCGGCCGTGGTGAGAGCGGAGGGTAGCCCGGGTCTGAGTGATCGGTCAACGGGGAGGTGGATAAGCGCAGTCGGATAACTTCTGTAGGGGGTTCATGGTGGCAGGACTTTGCACCTGAGCGGACTGGAAGAGGGAGGAGTGAAGCGGGCTGAGGGCACCTCTCCAGCTCCCAGGATGTGCAGCCAGGTGCTGTGGTGCCATTTACATCAGGGAGGAGCTCGGTGGTCACTTCCGCACAGATCAGGTTTGAGGTGCCCTTGAGACGGCTGAGCAGATAGATTTAAGAAGCCGACTTATGGATCTGCAGCTCAAAAGAAAAACCTGGGCCAGAAATAGAAACTTGGAAGCCACCGGCATGGAAGTGGCACCGCAAACCAAGGGAGAAGACATGGCCTACGGATCACGTGTAGATAGAAAGGTGGTGCAGGACAGATGAGGAGCCAGCAAAAGGAGGTGGGGAGGAGGCCTAGAGTGGCAGAGGATGGGGGAGACGAGAAGTAGGAGGTTTCATGGAATCCTAGGGGAAAAAAATACTTTAAGATGGAAGAAAAATAAGTGTCCATTGTGTTCAGCAACATGGAAGTCATTGGTGGATGCGGCAAGAGTAATTTCAGCAGGCGAGTGGGATGCTCGGAAGCGGCTGGCATCGTGGCTCAGGGTGTTCCTTCTCAACCACATGGAAACAAAATTTAAATGGAGGAAGCTTTCCCACGAGTCTCTGTCACTGTGACAACCGTCGGGGCTTTCCAATCTCCCCTGCTCCCCAACGGCCCTACTCTGTAGGGGACAATGGCCCCCGGGACTGCAGTCCTGGGACCTGCAGGGGACCGCTGAGCCAATACCGTGCTGAGCGCTCCCGTGCACCAAGCCAGCCTCGCCTGTATCAGGATTTTCTTATTTTATTTTTAAAGATTTTATTTATTTTCTTGACAGCAAGAGAGAAGAGACAGCGTGGGAGGGAGAGGGGATCTGAAGCAGACTCCACCCTGGACGTAGAGCCCCATGCGCGGCTCGACCCCAGGACCGCGAGCTCGCGACCCAGGCCGCCCTGGTGGCCCTACAAGAAGATCGTGAAGAAGTGAAACGGTTACCTTTTTTCTTTGAACAGGTAGAGGGGAAGTCCTTGTCTTCCACCTTTACTGAAGGCCTGTTACACTTCATCCTACAGAAGAAAGAACGTCGTGCTCCAGAACATAATCGAGATGGCCCAGGGGTTTTATCTGTTTTAACTGGAAGTCCAGCTGCAAATCAATACACAGAATGTGATAAACTGAGAGTAGTACTGTCTGTCAGGAGGGGGAGAGTGACCTTGAAGAAAGCCTCCTCTTTCCTGCCTCACTGCCTCATACTGACCATTCCTCCTCACTGACGCCGTGAAAGACGCATCGCGGGTGAGCGGGCTGTCAATCTGGAAAGGTTTCCAGATCTCCTAGAAAGCAGCTACCGGTAGGAGCGGGCCTGCGATCCTGCTGCGAACACTGGCTACTGGTCTGCAGACTGTCCGGGGATAACGAGCGCCCACCGTGGGAGAAGCCAGAGGGGGGGGCCACCGCCGGGGCTGCTCCTGGACGTCACCCCTCCAACCTACCTCCCACAGGGCCTCCCGGGTGAGCCTCCCTGGAATACACACGGCCCCCTCCCCGATCCTTTTCGCCCTAGCACACAGCGGGGATGCGTCTCCATCCCGAGATCCTTCCCCCCCTGCCCCCCGGCTCTGTTCCTCTCTTTGTCACCTGGTGCACCCACCCCGACTCCTCCTTTCAGACCCACCCCAGCCGTCACCTCCTCGGGGATGCCTGTCCTCGTGTCCACAGGAGAACGAGTCCTCTGTTCTCTCTGCTTGGCACTATTTCTATGGAGGTACCTATCACGCGGGGTGCTGGCCCCAGGTCTCCTCGACTGTATGGCACAAGCCTTAAAGGCAAGGACCAAACCTCACCTCCTTTTTCTCTTCATGTCACTACCAAAAATTGCCAGGGCCAGACTAGAAAAGGCAACAGGGACCAGGGGCCACACTGAAGTTTTCGGAAGAGGAGTGCCTTAATGAAAAGGATGGTTTAAAGGAGGTCTCTCTGGGGACATTTCCCTCTGGGGGCTGACATGGGGGAACGTGCAAGCAGGAAACTTGGGCCGTGACCACACTGGCCCGTGAGCTCGTGGCACTGACCCCGTGCCCACTGTGTGCCAGGAGCTGCCCCACGTGCTTTATGTATAGCGATATAGTTAATCCTCGCAACCATCCCACGAAACCGCTACTATTTTGTAGATAAGGAAACGGAGGCACAGAGAGGTTAAGTAACTTGCTCAAGGTCAAAGGTCACAGCTGACAAATGGTAGAGCCAGGAAGTGAGCCTGGCAACCAGACTCCAGACTCCATGCTCCTAACTGCCGGAGCACACAGGCTCCCCCGGGACTGATGGGGGAAAGCTACAGGGCCTCACGCAGGAGGGATGGGGGGGCACGGGTGAGGGAAGCAGGGTGGGGGTGGGGGACGTGAAGCCAGGAGGGGGCCCCAACTAATGAGGAACCACTTTGGCCAAAGAAACTTCCAATTTATATTTCAAGTTTTCTTACTTTTATCTTAGGAGGTGCATGAGTGTAACTCGAGTAAATAGAGGGAATTTTTCCGGAGGGGGGTGGTGGAATCAAACTGGTGTGAGCCCTTTAAACTCAGGAGCACACAACTGGGAATTTATAGATTCTGGGGGGTGGGGAGTCTAAAACCCAGAAAGAATCAAAATAGCTGTTTTTCCTCCCTGTGGATTTGGACATTACGTAAAGCAAAACAAATAGGAAGGTAGGTGGATAACTGCATTGAGCCCAGGAGAGCACGTGTGACCCAGTTAAGGGGCAGAGAGGAGGGAGGCCGGGGGCTGAGCGCATCGGCACACGCTGCAGTCCTCGCTCAGCCGTGCGGACGGGCCCCGAGGAAGCAGCCGCAGCCTGCTCCTGGACTCACTTTTTGCATCTATGAGCCGCTCCCGGGGCGCCGTGTCCGAGGAGGAGAGCTGCTCCTTCACTTTGGCGATATCTTTAGGGTGCAGGTAGTCAAACAGACTCTGACCAATCAGATCGTTCTGTGGGGAGGAAGCGTGAAAACCACACGTCAACAGCACGTGGGATACAACTTAGCCAACAGGTGCTCTGCCTTTTAGTTTGTATTTCTAGGCATGGGAATTTCAAATATGTCCAGTGTGAACACGTACACCTGTCCAATCACTGTGCCTAGGGACACACAGGACAGGCAGTGAGGCATCGGGACTTTGGTGTCCATGACACAGGAGGGGGAAGGGCGTATATTTATACTTCTATAAATAGTTCATGCTCCTCGAAGGCAGGAGTCTTTCAGCTGTACGTGTTCCCTGTTATTTGTTCTGGATGCCACAAATGCTCTGCTAGGAACACAGGGTGTGGGCGGGGACTCTAGCCCCACTGGGCCCTCGTGTTGTTGTGTCACACCGTGTGCCTCCACGGCCTTGTGTGGCAGCAGGGAAAAAAAGAAACGCCTTCGTAACTTTTCCCCAAGACCAAGAAGAGCAAGACACTCTGGATACATCCAACTTACATTCATTCTAGTTCACACAACTATCCTTTGGATTCTTCAATTCTGCTGCCTACCTACCAGCTTCCCATGCAAACACCAGCAGGTGAAGGAATGAGTGAATAGGTGGATGGATGGGTGGATATGTGAATAAGAATGCTAGGGACAGAGTGTCTCTGCTTAAAAAACTTTGCTCTAGAAGCTTGTGGGCATGCTTATCTTACTGCATCCTATGAACAATCATAAAAGGTATTATTACACTCATTTTTTTTTATTTTTAGAAGGAGCCGAGATTCAATAGAATGAAAAAGGGATACGTCATCACAAACACAGTATGGGTGGATCCCCATTGTTTCATTCTCTGGTTATCATCTGCCTTTCCTGGTCAGGTAGCCCCTTGCCTCGTGCCTCCTCCGCTCTCTCTAGCTGTGGGATATTCACTGTGCGGCAATAAGAAAGTATAAAGCTGTTGATGAGATCACAGTCAAACCTTCCAGTGAGGGAAGCATAGAACACATACTAAAAAGATTTCTTTCTAGGGGCACCCGGGTGGCTCAGTCGGTTAAGAGTCTGACTTTTGATTTTGGCTCAGGTCATGATCCCAGGGTCATGAGACTGAGCCCCATATCGGGCTCGGCACTGAGTGCAGGCTGCTTAAGATTCTCTTTCCCTCTGCCCCTTCCTGCCATGCATTCTCTCTCTAAAAAAAATACATAAAACTTAAAAAAAAGATTTTTTTTCTAGATTTAAATTTACTTCTCTGTTAAGAAATTACAAATTTTCTGGAAGAAGCATTGGGTGTGTGTGTGGGGGGGAGTTATAATATAAGCCTTTTATGTGTGGCTTGTATATTATAATTCTTCTAAAAAGTGGGGTGACCTTTCTGGCAGCCGTGAGGCTGCCCACCACCAACAGAAGCATAAGCAATAATACCTGGCTGTAGTTGAGGATCTTGAAGACAGACTCTGAGACGAAGAGTATCTTCCCTCGGTCACATCCTACGACAAACAAAAATCCATCTGCTGCCTAATCAGGAGAAATGGATAATCAATTTACCGCACTTTAGGAAACACGGTTTGTAATCACTCTGATAGCAACTAAGGATTTGTCTGCTAAGTATCCAAAGCACAAAACTGTACTCATTGAGTTTCACAAGCATCCTGAGCCCAGGACGCTCAAAAGGAATGCCTCATGAGAAGAAGAAGATTCTCTCAAAGGCAGGTATGGACATACGGATCATCATCGTCGTCGTCGTCATACGGGGGACGGTCCCACGGAAGCAATTTCAGTTACAACACTGAATTCATTTTAAGAATTTTCCTTGGAGTGTATCAAGGTCTGGAGAAGTCCTGTTTTATTTTGTTACTTGTAACTATGTAGAATCATAGAACCTGAGATTGAAAGGAGCCCTTCCATCAAAACCCCCTCCCGATATCCCGGCCACCCTGGCCCTCAGCCTGAACACTGCCACTTACGGAGCGCTCTCTCCGATGGTTCTCAACAGCTGGAGCGGCGCCTTGTGTGTCTGTGCTGCTGCTGTCTTCGTGCTGATGGCCTGGGGTGGGGCTGGGTCAGGAGTATCGTTCTCACCCCCACCCCAAATGATTCTAATGTACACAGGATGGAGAACTACTGCTCTCAAAGATCATTTCTGGATCTGGGGCTGGGCTGCTTACATCCTAAGTGAGGCAAGCAAAGCAAAGCAAAACTTTCCCCTCCGTTCTCTTTCCTTCTTCACTTTAAATGCAGGTAAAATATCTCAAGTCCCAGGAAAGGCAGATACGGAGACAGGATGCTATTTGTTAGACTGAAGCGGATAAATACCAAAGCTGCAGAGTCTGAGGGCTGCAGCTCGTGGGGTCTAGGTGCACGTGAACCCTACACCCAGAGCTCTGAGGACGGACAACTGCTCAGCTCCAGCCGGGGGCCTCCCAGGGATGCGGAGGGTGCTCCACGCTCGGTCACGTGCTTGCTTTCAGGCTCAGCAAACACAGTTCTAATCTTGTTTTATTCACCAGTCCTCGGTCTGTTCTTTGGAAAAATCTAGAGAAACCCAATTCCCTTTTCCACAGAGGGGCCTCTGGGGATGTAATTTAATTCAAAGAACTAAGAAATGAATTCGTGTGCCAGAGGCAAAATAATGGCACAGGCACCTGTGCAGACAGGAAAGCAGTAGGAGGGGAACCACTGCCGCTGAGAAGGCACCAGGCCCCTCAGCCAGAAGGGAGCTGGGGCCGCTCCCTCCCTAAGCTGGCCCCCTAAGCTGGCACAGGGCAGGGGAGGACAGTGGAGAGGAAGAGTCTTTCCAAACACCATCTGCTGGAAGCCTCGTTCTGTCAAAAAATAGGGTATTAATAACTTGCACACCGCCTTGCAGACGGTCTCACATCTAACATGAGAAGTGTCTTGAGGCTTTCGTTGGTGCAGGGAAGCAGCACAAAAGGTAGGTGACTCGGAAGAGGTGCCTGCGACATGCTGGAGGGAATGCTGAACCCCTGACGGGAACAAAGTGGGTTGCAATCCATCCAGGGCGAGAGAGTGAGCTCCTGTCAGCCTACAGGGAAGGCTCCAAACATCCTGACTCTGTTTCCCCCGGGCAGATAAATGCCACCAGGTGAAGGAGCCAGGGCCTAGGGGCCGCCTCACAAGTGGAGATGGGTGGGGTGCCGTGGGCTCACCGGCGGGGGAGGACAGGGTTGGTGGGGGAGGACAGGGTTAGCGGGGGAGGCAGGCCGAAGCTCTGGGGGTGCCTGCCTAGTTTTCCGAACATGGGAGGTAGAGCACTCAGGCTGGCCCTGACATGCCACTTGCCGAAGCCATTTGAAAGCTCTTGGTGGAGAAGTCAGACCTGCACTGGTGAAGAAAAGTACAAGTCCAGTTCCTGCTGCCCACCCCTCCAACACCACCTGAGCGGCCCCCGCTGTCTGTGCAGGAAAGTTCTGGGAAGTGGGCTCCCAGAATGGTAAGGGATTAGATGGTGCCTCATGGCCACGGGCAGGTGCCGGGGTTGGGGTAGGGGTCAGAGATGTTTCATCGGGGGAGACCCAGCACCACTGATGCTGCAGGATGCAGAAGCACAGGAAAGGCAAGACTGAGATGAAGTATTTAGCTTAAATGGCATGAAAATCCTTGGTCCATACCCTGGCAAGTGTGGGCATGTGACAGGAAATTCAGAAAAGTAGAGAGCAAGTTATTAAGCATTTGCCGTTGCAAAGGGAGATCTTTATATATTACATGTAGATCTATAACGATACATACAGAGAGAAACCTATAGAGAACACGGGCTTCGTACACTTTATAGGTGTTCAAAACCAAATCCATTTGTGTATACGCACACATTCATTTTTTTTTCCCTAAAGACGTCCAATCAGCAGTACGGCAATCAGGCCCTGCCCCGGGATTGCGGGGGCCAGTGCAGAATGGATATGCAGAGGCCCTGGTTCAAAAATCAGGATCTTCCAGACAGCAAGAGCAGAACATTAAAACAAGCGCTGGGCCCCGTGTGGCTGCGTAGGGTGCATGCCCATGAAGCCAGCCCTGGTGGTTTCTCCAGAGCTGCTGCCGACACAGTTAGTAGCTTAACTGCAGCAGGTCCCCCCTGAGGACCGGGCCAGCCTTATGAAAGGAGGATGGAGGGGGCAGTGCAGAGCTGCGTCAGAGTAACTGTGCCCTGGGGGAGGTAGCCCAAGGACCATCTCAAACTTGCTGGGACGCCCCCCCCGCCCCCAACGTGTTTATTGTGGACTTGGATTTTCCAAGGGCCGTGCATACAGAACTAAGTCTCAAAAACGAAAGACGCACCAGGCCTGCCTGTGGGATCTACCCATCGCAAGCAGCTTCGAAGGATCACTAATGACCACCTGGAACATAGGGCCACCCAATAGACAGACTTTGGTAGAAACAGAAGTTCAAAAAACCGAAGTGCACCTATACAGGATGGAAAAAACCTGACCTAACAATAATCCATGTACAGGAATGGGAGGGATGGTATCACAGTGGCCCAAAACATGGCACTAATAGGATGACTTCTGTGTCAAGGAAGGCACCAGGCCCATTCAATCCCAGGCCAACCAGACCACAGCTGAAGCTCTGTACTGGGTGTTGAGAGCCACTTCTGGAGGAAAATCTAGCAAATGACTGTGGCTCTGGAAAGTGTGTGTGGCAAATGCTGATGGGGGACCCTCGCCTGCCTCTACTATGATGGTGGGAAAAATCTAAATCCTTGCCCTGAAGCTAGGGGTCATCAGGTAACATCTTCTGGAGAAGCTGACATCTACAATCGGGCTTTCAGGAAGGCACAGCTTTTCTTGAGAAGAGGGACAGCTGGGCTAGACACTGTGCTGCCCCTTGTGTCTGGCTAGCATGGCTACACTGAGGAAACAAGCTGTACACTAGCTCAGCAGGACTGTTCTCGAAGACAGGAAGAGCCTGGTTCTGGCCGCCCTCATGGAGCCACCAGCCCCTCATGGCTTACCCCAGGACCAGCTATATTTGGGAAACAAAACCCCATTTGTTCATCAGGTCATCTGTTCCTTGCAGCTGAAAGCTTTGCAATTAAGATAACACGCCAGGCAGGGATGGGTAGAGAATGCTGGAGTGAGCACACAGGCCAGACGTACAAAGGACCGGAAGCCCAGCAGAGCTGAAAGTCAGGGTGACAACAGAGTGGGCTCTGTCCCAAGGCCTGGCAAATGTCAGCTCAAAGAGAGGTGCCCAGATACTGTAGGGGCTTAGCAAGCAAGGTCCACCCTGGCTGTGGGGGGAAGGAGGCTGGTATAGTTCCCTTCAGTTAGGTTTTTCTGTTTTTCTTTTTATAGTTTGCAAGAGGACAGGTTTCTGAATCCTGTTTCTTTCCCTTCGATTTCCAAGTTGATCTCACTCTACCCAGAGGCAGACCCAATCCCACACGGAAGCCAAGTTTGCATGGCGCCACCTCGATGGCCTCTCCGCAGAGAGGAGCAAGATGAAGTGAGCGCTACGGCCAGGAGGGGAGAGCCTTGCGTCCCCCATTTCTTTTCCTCCTTGGCAAGAGGAGTCTTTGGAAGCTTTGTTGCTTTGATGGGGTTTTGGTGGAAGGGTAGATGTGGATGTTTTTGTGCCAGCAGTTAAGTGAGAAGACGACAAATGCTCAATTATCGATGTCCATCCTTTTCTAAAGCCTTCATGCAGGAATGGGATTCTTCACTACCTATTTTTAACAAAATCCTGCCTCCTTCTATTTAAAAACCACAGTAGCCTGGGCCTTCCATTTTTGTCTAAGCAAGCATGGAAGGGGAGGAGGAAGACCTCAGGGAAAGAATGTGAAGACTGTCCAGACAAACAGACAGAGGTGGAGACCCAAAAGACGAGGGGCCTCAGAAGGTCCAAAGGTTAGACATCAAATTCCCACAGGCTGGTACCTCACCCAGAAATTCATAAAAGTGTGTACAAAACAAGCTCGTAAATGCGACATACCCTGAGAATGAGGTGTTTCAATTCATCATCTGACAGGAAAGTCGGCTTATAATTTGCTTCTGTGTATGGATTGGTGGCACCTTAGGGAGAAGAAAAGAGAAAGAGTTGGTCCAGTTTCTATTCAGGTAACGTCTCATTCCACTTCGCCGCCTCCACCCTTCCAGATGCGGCCTGGCCCCTGCCACCTGGAACTTCAATCTTATTTTCTTTTTCCTTAACAGAGACAGGGCTAGATCGGGCTTCGGACAGAAGCCATTGAAAAAACAACACTGTTGTCCACAGGGGACCTAACGAGTTTGCTCTGGCCACTGGAGGGGAGCCAAGAGGTAACAGACAGAAGGAAAAATCTGCTTCAAAGAGAGAAGGCAGCTCCAGAAGCCAAGCGGCAGAGGGTCCTGGGAGGATTCCCTCCCCCCAAGATTGACATTAAATGGGTTGACCAGCAGTCCCTCCAATCGTCACGCTGAGCCTTCCTGGGACATCATCCAGGCTGCCAGGCCCTGAGTAAATAAATACATTGTAGAAGGCATCTGGTGGGAGTGCTTCTTCATCGGGCAAGGCAAATGAGCTTGGCAACCCAGAGAAACGCATCACTTAAGTGACTACAGCTCTGGGTCCTCGGGCTGAGAGGGGACAAGATGCTTAAAAGGCATCAGTCTGGCATCGCATCGGAGAACAGTAAGAGAAAAATGCCAGCAGCAAATGACCTGGAATCCGCAAAAACAGAACAGTGAAGAAATAAAACAGAAAAAGTCCATGATTCACAGCACACGGGGAAGGAGGGTGACAGATGTGCCTGGGACTTTCACATCAACTAACCAGGCACAGGCTGAGCCACAGCCCGGCTTTTTATGACTCGAGATGTGTCACTCGTTTCCTTCCAACTTAATAAAAAAGTTAGCTTGTAGTAACCTAATCTCTATCACCTTCACTAAGAGGAAATTCTAGTGGACACGACGCAGACAGGTCTGAATGGGGGATCGCAAGTCAGACAAAACCGGCGACTCTGCCCTCCTGGTGGCTTTGTGGAAACACGAAGACACAATCCTTGTAGCACGCGGGTCAGAGGTCTGAAGCGGACTGAGCACCCACTTTCCAGTTCCCTCTGAGGGTCCGAGGCCCCACCGGAGCGCCACTTCCACCTTCCTGCCCCGCGTGCTCGCCCGCCCCGCGCTCGGAGAGGAAGGAAGACGCTGCCTCCCTCGTGAAGACTCTATCTGCTTTGGGAATGTTCCAGGAACATGAAAATACCATCAGTGTTCATCCCTGACAGCAAAATGCAGCAAGAACCAACCACCAGCCGGTGACTCACTCCTTAAAGGAGCCATGGTGAATTTTCCTCTGAAAGACAGGAAGGGACCCCCCCAGCATCCCTAGGTGCACCCGTCCTTCTGACGGCCGGGGCCCTGGCCCCCCTACATGCAAGATGTGTGGCCCCCCTCAGCTACACACAGCGCCCGAGGATCACAGGCACGTGCAGACACGGGCACGCATCGCAGCCTCTACCCCCTGGGCGGGGGAAGGAACAGCTGCAAAACCCCAACCGGACCCCATGTAAGCTCAGTGATCACCCCACGTGGCACTAGGCCTGTTGCTCAACGCTGCACATCTGTCAACTGACACACACTGTACTGGGGACTCAGGCACAACTGAGGCAAGGGAGGCAACATGTGTGGACAAGGTCACAAAGAAGATGAAGCCTGAGGTCTCACCTCGTAACGTCTTCATGTGCTGAGCGGCCATCCTCAGCGCGGTAAGCTCATCTAACTTCCTGGACATGGCGTTGCACGTGGGCGCCAGGGAAGCCAACTCGTCAATGGAACTGTTCATTTTATCCCGACGCCTCTTCTCAATCTGACTGTGAGCTTCCCTGCACAACAAGGGGAAAAACGACTTCTATAAAATGAGGCCAAGCCTCAGGGAAACGACAAAAATAAGCCGTAACTGGTTTTGACATTTCCCCTGACAGGCCACCTTTACAGCGTGCACCAGGTTTTGAACTAGACTTTTTGACTAGTCACCAAAATAGTGGCCTCCCTGCCAGGGGTCACTACTGGGGTTTTGTAGGCCTCCCTCATACTTAGCACGAAGGAGAAATAGGACAAAACAAAAACAAAACAAAAACAAAACAACCAAAACTGTCTGCTCAGAGCAAACTGGATGGCTAATTTCTCATTTCTTTTCCTCTCAGCCTCTGTGAGGTTGCATTTTAAGGTAAGCATGAAAGGAAAGAGAAGGGAGGTGGGGTCTGCAAAGAGTGAAGCTTCTGGAATGGCCACTGGGGGGGATCCTGTGATCCCGAAGTGGTCTCTGAGGTTGTGAGGAGCCCGCAGTGCACCTGTCAGAGACTCACTGACTGAGTCACTAGGTAACCAATGCTGCCATCTTTGGACCAACCACGACCCCACCAAGATATAGCAGATGCTGCATCTGTCCCCGAGAGCTTCCTCTGAAAAATGAGCTTCCTCTGAAGAATGTTCTACTCTTCCCTCCCCGGCGTGGCCACGCAGCAAAGCAGGAGGGTGCTTCCACAGGTACGCACTCTCCCCGACTACTTTGTACCTGCCACTGTGATTGTCCCTATGGAGGTACATCACCCTTGGAAACGCAGTTTGCTGCCATAGCAACAGAGCCACCAAGCAGGACCCCCCACCAAGGCTAGGCTGTGCAGGAGGGGGAAGCCAGGAGTCTCAGGTCAGTCAAATTCTATGGCATGACAGCCTCAGAGGACCCTAGAGCTAATGGCAGGAGCGTGGAAGACCCACGTGGATGGGGGCAGCACGTGTGGCTGGAGGCAGGAAGGACCGAGTCAGAGAATCTACTCAAAGGAGCCCCCATGTCCGGCCTCGCAGTGCAGGGAGGGCCACTTTGAGAGGGGAGGCCCAGCCCAAGAACGGAGTCACTGAGCCAGGTCTCCTCTGGGGGCCCTCGAGTCAGGAAGCGGCAACCTGCTGAAGACAGCTGGGGAAAAGCTTCAGCCGTGAAGGACTTCCTGCTACTCCAAGGGCCCCTTCAGGTTTAATGGGCTTAGACAGCCAAGAGCGAAGGCCACCCCAGTGTGGAGGGGACAAAGGGCAGGCGGCCACCTCAAGCGAAGGCCCTCAACACCTTCCCCATCCCCGAAAGGATGCTCAGCCCAGCAGGGACCAGACACAGAGCCACCTCAGCCGTGCTCTCAACACCCAGAGCCAGGATGGTTTAGAGACAGGCCCGCCCTTACCTTGCATTTTTGATCCTTCCTTGGTGCTCTGTGTAGTCTAACCTGGAAGGGAAGAAAGAAAAAAGGAAAAGATAAAACACGATCCCTAGGAGACTAATGGCAAAGTTATACAGCTCTCTTTTCCTCCCAGTTTCATTCATTTCCCAGCTTAATCCCTGTCCTCTCTCTCAACACACAAGGGCTCCTGCTGTTAGCTACGCCGGGGGCCAGGGGTGACCATCTTGAACTCCCCGGCTCACAGCCTCCCTCTTATCCCCAGTCAAGGACATGGGTGAGATCTGCGCCAACTAACAGAACACGTAATTATGCAAGGAAAACCGCTAGCAGGATGAAGGTCACGACTGGGTTCATGGTACCTTCCATGAGGGTCGTCTTTGTCTGTGTCCATGCTTTCTCTGAAAAAAAAAAAAAAAAAAAAACAAGAGAGAACGTGAGTTTTTGTGAATCAAGACATACGAAGCAGCTTCTTACAACACGGAAGGCTCTCATTTATCCAGAAACCAAATAGTCAGAATGTTCAAATGGCCACGGTACTGATTATCGACACAGGATCGTCAGACACACACAACTTGCACCTACTATGAAACTAGGACCGGGTTTCTGGATGACCAAGCAAAAGCTACATATGGTCATCAACAGAGCTTGCTTGGTAATATTTTAGGCCATATTCTGAAGATCGGGAATACACAGCATTTATGGACATTCTTTTTTTTTAATTTTTTTAATTTTTATTTACTTATGATAGTCACAGAGAGAGAGAGAGAGAGGCAGAGACACAGGCAGAGGGAAAAGCAGGCTCCATGCACCGGGAGCCCGATGTGGGATTCGATTCCGGGTCTCCAGGATCGCGCCCTAGGCCAAATGCAGGCGCCAAACCGCTGCGCCACCCAGGGATCCCTTTATGGACATTCTTAATCAGAGTATCCAAGTAACTAGAATACCTCATTCTTCCCATCATTCTGGATAAATGGAGTTTATTCATTTGCAGAACATACCAAGCCTCAAATATACATGTGCATATTTGGTGGGGGGCGGGGGTGGGGAGGCGAATGTACCCACAGAGAAGCACTGAGAGGAGTCCTGAGGCAGCTTCTCAAAGGCACTAATACCCAGTGTTCTGGTTCTCAGCCAGGTGGGAACCTCCTCGGCCTAAGGAGCTGGGATCCAGGGCACGAGTGGGGCCAAGGGGCATGGAACCCTGTCGGGCCGCAGAGCGTCCTGGGGTCACGGCAGGGATCTACCTCCCTTTTATAGACTCCAGAGGTCCCAGTTTCATGGCACTTTATGGTTCAACAGAAAACAGACTAGAATCCTCCAAGATGGGGGTTCCAAATCTCCCTGGGGTCAGCCCACACCCTTCTTCCGCCCCTAAGTTTATCAGCAGGAGGGCCCTGACTGGCACCTGAGCCTCTCCTTTTTTGTCTGGGAAGAACAGAGGGACATGGCCCTTCAAGCAATGGAGCCTCAAGGGCAAAAGCCACTTTTCTCAGGAGCACTAAATCACATCATGGGCATTCTGGGACAGTGGTTCACAACCAGGAGCCCTTGGCTGCCTCACAGGCAGAGAGCTTCTCCAGCTAGTCCTAAAGCACAGAAGAGAAACCATTCAGGCCACAGGGGAAAATGAAAGCTCTCCCTCCCCTTCTGTCTTGGCTCGTATCTGCTCACCAAGGCCCGGATCATCATCTCAGGTGAAGAGAGCTCTGCCTGACAGATCAGATGCATTCAGCACATTAAGATGACCGGGAAGGGGGCTAGGGGTGCTTAATATGGTCTCCACAAATCACAGAAGATTTGCAAGGGGTCCATGAGGGAAACCTGGAGGTCTTGGGTGGGGACCAACAGGGGACCACAGGTTTAGATCGCAGAGGTCTTAGAAGGCACCGGTGCACCGGTGACTCCACGAGAACTTGCTCAAGACAAGAGGTCTGTGGAAAAACTCCTGGCCTCCCTGTGGGGGATGGACTGGTCCAGAAGAACCCTCTCAGGCCTCACACCCACTCTCCATCCCCTGGGAGTCGCCTGCTCAATCATCTGGGGTCACTTACACATTAATCATAGCATCTCCTAGTGGGCATCTGACCTTCGGTCACTGTGCTCCCCAAATTCGACCTGTGAACTTCAGCAGAAAGGACATCTGCTGTGGGGGAGACACCTCCTTGAAGATTTTTCCCTCATTAAACAAAAGAAAACCTCTCAAGTGGACGTCGGGATAAGATTGCACACAGTTGCCTCAACAAAACAAAACATGCCTTAGAAGGTTCTCCGCAGCGCCCTATCCCCCAGGTGTGTGTACAGATATACAAGAGTGGACTGTAAGTGGGAAAATTTACTTACTCAAAAGAAAAGTCATCAAGTCTAAAAAGAAACAAAAATACTATTTAATATAACAGGTACATAGTAATTGGAGTAATGTTTCAGGGTGGCGTCAATGCTCCTACGGTGCTTTCGGAGAGGACCTGCACTCACACCTGCCACAAACAATTAAGCAACCGAGGTCTTCCCCAGAGAGGCCTTCAGGCAAAGTTCTCTTTGAAACCATGAGGTTACACCCAGGACAAATTTGCACTGGGCTAAGCCAGCTGGCTCAAGGGAGCCAAGGAGGACAAAGGAAACGGTAAAAGGTAGACCTTGGCTTTAGGGCTCTTCCTTTTCCCCTCATGTGGGACAATTTGGGGACAGGAGGGGGGATGTGGGTGCCTCAGCAGTGCTGGAGGCTCCATCCTGCTTGCAATCCAGTGGGAAGATAAAAACAACAACAACAATAGACCCCACTGTATGGCCGCCTAGACTTGTAGCTTTCATTTCCAGCCCTTTCCACAAAGAGGACCCCTTCTTCCAGGAGGAACAGGAGCCAGCCCTTCAGTGTGCCAGGAGTGGACACCAAGTTCAGGCAGAGGAAGAGGAGCCCAGAAGGCCTTACTGGTAGTTGGTGGAGCTGCCTTTCCGCTTCCGGTTGCAATCCATGCCACTGGTGCCGAGGGGGCTGGAGAGGAGGTCGGTGGGGCCTGGGGACATGAAGTCACTGATTGTCGAAGAAATGTCCATTCTCTGGTCAGCCATTGGAGGTCTGCAACTGGCACAAGGAGGCACAGAGGTGATTTCTAGGCATCCTTCTAACGTGGTGGAGAGGGGGGTACTGGGCTGTTGCGTCAACACGGCTCCCACCCAGCAGCAGGAGTAGGGATACCGCAGACTGGCGAGAACAGGATGTGCTTTAGGAGTTAGCATAGAGAACGGAGGTTGACCTGCTCATAGCTCTGATGAAGACACAAAGTTCAGAGCAACTGGGTGGCTTCTCCTGGGTGCCCATGCTAGGGCATGCAAGAACGATTCCAGAACCCAAGGCTCTATGGGCTTGGGGCCCAGTGCTCCTCCCATGAGGGGACCAGATATCCTCTGACAGCTCTCATTTTATTTTCTTGCAATCAATAAAATAAACATGATTCACTCGTTATCTTTGTGTTTTTGTTACAACTCTTGTAAAAGTCATTGGAAAGCAGAAAATATCCTTTCTCCGGCCGTAAGTCTCTCTTGGGAGCTGGGGAAGATATGGTCCCCCGTCTATCACGGGGCCAGGCAAAGTCTGTCCTGACTGCCCTGACCAGCCTTTGCCCCCAGCATCCCCTGCAAGGAAAACCTGCATGATGACACAAAGATAGTGCAGACAAATTTGCAAAACATTTTGAGAACCCACATTTTATAAGCGTGGGGTAAGTCGGCCCAAAAAAGAGGCTGATGAGTACCTTGCAAGGGACTCCAACTCCAAACCAAGTCGAAGAGGGAGGGGCCGTGCGCTGCCCACCCACACGGGGGTCCCAGCTCCACACCAGGTGACTGGGGTGGTCACTCCCTCTCCCCGGGCTCAAGTTTCTTCATCTGCAAAGCAAGAGGGGGCTGTGAGCTCATTTGCCCGATTTCTGTTCCACCCACAGATGAGTGCACCAGGTTAGGTGTGCGCCAACTTTTCACTTTCACAACCACAGCCAGAGGGAGCATCTTTGTGTTCTAACTCCAGGCACTTGAGCTATTATCTCTCCATCTAAATGTCTAAAAGCAGGACAAAAGGGAACACACATAATATGCCTTGGTACATTCTGGAACACTGTGCTGCTGAAAAGCTCCAATAATTTCTATCCCCAGCAAGAGCTCCTGTCAATCCGAAGGAAAAAACAAAACCCCATTGGTTTTTACTTGCATTTTTAAATGATTACGGATGGTGTCCCTATGTTTATAGACATGTGTCTGGTTTCCTTTCTGCCCACTCATGTCCTGTTTTCCTACCACGTTTTCTTCAGTATGGATGGGCCTCCTAACTCATGTTCACCTGGGCACCGGAACCTGGTGGCAGAGAAGCACACGGTGAACCGGCTGCTCTCCCTTCCCATCCACCTCCTCGCACACCTCCAATGCCAGTGCTGCCCGCTGCTCCTTGGCTCCCCTGCTCTGTGGATTCCCCCATCTGCCATCAAGCACGTCATACCCTCTCTTTTCTCCTCAAGCTTCCAACAGCTCCCCATCCTCCCTCTAGCAGATACTTTGCTTTCTACTTCATGGAGAAAAGGGAGCACATCCACTGGCCCACCCCCTCTCACTAGGGCAGATCATTGCCCCAGGATTCTCTCCCTGCCACACACCCTGCACCATCCACTTTCCCCACCCTACTGGGTCACTCTGGTTTGGATAAACATGGACAACAACTCTCATCTTGGGGAAAACACACACGCTTTTCTGAACTCTATTCCCTTCTAGCCGGTACCCCCATTTCTCTGTTTCCAGTTCTTTTCCTCTTCCTTGCTATAAAGCAACACAAATTGGGCTTTTGTCCCCATCATTCCAATGGAACAGCCCTGTTAGGTGCCCCAGTGGGCTCGTCATTGTCATTGCTAAGTCTGGTAGCTGGTTCTCCAACCTCCATACCTGCCCCATCCCGACATCTGCTAGAGCTGATCTGTCCCTCCTCGCTGTCTCTCAGCTCCAGAGAGGCCACCTCCTCATTGTCCCCTTCTATTTCAGTGGCCACTCATTCCTTGCGGGTCTCTTTTGTGGGTGCTTCCTCCTCCCTCACCTCTACATGAGGGTCCTACAGATGTCCTCGGACTTCCTCGGCCTATACCCACTCCCCAAGAGGTCTAATTTTGCTGCTTCAGATATGATCTATGCTATGAGAACCCCCAAATTTATCCCTCCAGCCTGACTGCTCTTGAATTCCAAACTTACACGGCCAAGAGGCCTCCAACTGAAACGTCCAAACCAAACCCCCTGGTTCTCCCTGAGCTAAGCCCCTTGGTGATGCTCACATCTGAATGCTCGGGCCCCAAACCTAGAAGTCATCCTGACTCCTTGCTTCCTTTTACAACCTGCACCCAACCTGTTAGAAAATCCCATCAGCTCCCACTTCTTTCCTTGCTCCTTTGTATTTCTGCTCAAATGTCACTTCAGCAGTGAAGCTTCTCTGAATATCCATATACTACAACACCCCACCAGGACCAATCATCCTTAACCACCCCCACCTGGCTTCATTTTTTTCCCATAGCCCCTAGCAATAATCTACTTCTTTATTTACTAGCTTCCTCTCCATTAGACCATTAGACTAGGAGCATCAGAAGAGTGGGCATTTTGTTCAGTTCACTACTTGCACCTTAGTGGCCTAGAACACTTTCTAGCATATGGTAAGTACCTAACAAATAGGTGTTGAATGAATATGTAAGTTCGTATATTTGGGATATTCATTCCTTGTTTGTCACAGATGTCATAAATACCCACCCCCTTTTTGCCTTTTAACTTTGCTTAGTTTTTATAGGTGATACTAGAAGTGACATGTTTTTTCAAAGCCTTTTTGCACCATAAATTATAAATATCCTCTTTACTAATATTTTTATGATTTGCTTAGCTCTTAATCCATCTGGAAATTACTTCTGGTACACTACCTACGGTTGGAGGTACCTACCTATTGCCCTTCAGTGGACAGGTAACTGTACCGACACCATTTACCAATCTGAAATGCCACCTTTATGGATTTATCGTCTACTTGTAGACTTCCTCTTCTGGTCCTTGGATCTAGTTACTTCCAATCCAGTACCACAGTATTTGTTATTGTGGCCTCATAATACATTTCCACTATTAGGTAGAACAAACCCGCTTCCTCTTCAGACTTTTCATTTTCAGAAATTTCCAGGTTATTCCAGTGGATTCTTTGAGGAGTGTTCTATAATCATGTAATCACATCGAAAGCCCTGACAGGTGCTGCTAGGAGCTGTTATCACAGATATCAGGAGTACAGAGCCCGATCCTCGGGGTCTCGGTGAGCCTTTGGGCTGCCAGCAGACACGGCGGTGCTACCTCTAGCCCCCACTCCCTCTTTTCGAGCAGCCAGACAGTTGCAGGAGGTGGACTACCCCAAGCTTCAGGGCGCTGGGAGAAACCACACTTTCTGAAAGAACTACCATGGAAGCCGCCAACGATGTCAGGTGTGGAGGGCAGGGGGAGGGGACTTGGGGGTGTGATTTTATTACCTGAAGTTACAGTTCTTAAAGCTCAGATTCACCCTGGGCGGAGCAAGGGGCCACGGGACTTATTGGTCACCTAAAAGCGAGTCTCGTGTTTTGTAGTTTCCTTTCAGGCAGTCAACTTCTTCCAAAACCTACAGCGGGGCCCACAAGGAAAGAAAACCCACACAGGTCACTTGGGGGAAGATACACCACACAACCCACTGGCTCCGCTCGAGGCGGCCAGGCTGGTGGCTCACGTTCTCACCGCTGGCGCCCGCTCAGCTAACCTGCCAACACGTGGAGGAGCTCGCGGGAGGGCTTCTCTGTGGAAGATGCTGCTTTTTTACTTAATTTACTTATTTTATTTTAAAAGATTTTATTTATTCATTCATGAGAGACACAGAAAGAGAGAGAGGCAGAGTCACAGGCAGAGGGAGAAGCAGGCTCCATGCAGGGAGCCCGACATGGGACTCGATCCCGGGACTCCAGGGCCACACCCTGGGCTGAAGGCAGATGCTCAACCACTGAGCCACCCGGGGATCCCAAGACACTGCTTTTTAAAGGACTAGACGTGGATCCTTGGATGCGGCCTTAAGGGACAGAAGACAACTGGACTTTTCATTTCTCCTCCTGGGTCAGGCAATAAAAATAATAGCGCCCGCTTGAGGGAGTGCTGGGTGTCAGGCACCGTCCCTACTGCAGGTCCCTACTGCTTCACAGCCTTGGGCCCGCACACAACTCTGGGAGGCAGATCCTCTGGCCTTCACCTACAGGAGAGGACGAGGCAGAGAGAGACGGGGTGGGGGACAGCAGGCAAGGTGACCCGGCGGAGGCGCGGGGCCCCGGGACAGCGGACACTAAGCCGCCACACGCACGCACACGGCACCCGAGAGCAAGTGAGGCCTTTGGAGAGAAGGGCCTGGAAGCTCTGGGCACCCCGGGGCCCCGAGCTGCGGGCACGGTCGGCGGTGAGAAGGCTCCGAGTCGCGCGCGGCCTGCGGCCCGTCCCCGCCCGCGCAGGACAGGGTCACCTCCCGGCTCCGCTCCAGACGGCCAGCCAGCCAGCCCGCCGTCACCCTCCCTGAAGCAAAGGTCCCGGCTGCTTCCCGCGGCCTCGGTGGGCCTGCGGCTTCCCCACTGCGAGGCCTTCGAATGGACGTCCTCCCGACGCCCTCCCCCTGCGGTCTGCCTCCGGGAGCCAGTGTGGACACGGCCTGGGAGCCCGGCCCCCAGGCCCCCGGGCCGAGCTGCCCGAGAGCTCACCGGCAGCCCCGCCTCGGCCGGCCTCCCCACACTCGCCCCACGCTCCTCTCCGGCACCCACCCGGCACCCACCCGGGCAATCCAGGGCCCAGGCGGGCGCCCTCCCCTCCCCTCCCCCACCGGCCCTCTGTCCCCTGGCCACCGACTCCATCCAGGCTGCTCTGGTCACACACAGGACACCCCCTCACTTAAACACTCCAGGGGCTTTACTTCTCTGCCCTGAGCCTTCCAGAAGCTCCCTGCCAGGACACACCAAGCCTCCACGGTAGGCTGGCCCGCTTGCACCCTGCCGCGCCCTCTGCTCCCCAATTCTCTGGGCCACCGGAAACGTAAGTTCTCAAGCACACGTGGCCTCAACTATGCCCACGCCGTTTGCAGGTGTGGCTCCCTTTACCCACTGGGCACCTGGTGGACTCCTGCTTTCCTTTCAACTGCCCCCACGTGGCAGCTCCTCAGAGAAGCCTTCCGGCTCTCCCCGTGCCGCTCTGAGCCTTCTCTTGGCACCTGTGGCCCTCTGCCCCCGCCCCATGATTTCACTACTAGGGTGCTCCCACTACACCCCTCACCCTCTCTCCCCCATGGCTCCAAAATTTAGAGGAAGGCTCTCAGTGCCAGACGCCATGTAAAATTTATTATTTGGACCAATTGTCCCAATACTCAAGTTTCCTTTATAGACATAATGAATGCTAACATAAATCCTGGCACTCTATCTTACAAAACAAAAATCAGAAGGCCTTGGGGCACCTGGGTGGCTCAGCGGTTAGGTGTCTGCCTTCAGCTCAGCATGTGATCCCCGGGGTCCCAGGATCAAGTCCCACATCGGGCTCCCTGCTCAGCGTGGAGCCTGCTTCTCCCTCTGCCTGTGTCTCTGCCTCTCTCTGTGTCTTTCATGAACAAATAAACTCTTAAAAAAATCAGAAGGCCTTGCCGGTCTCTGGGCTCCCTGCTCAGCGCGGAGCCTGCTTCTCCCTCTGCCCCTCCCCCTCACTCATGCTCTCTCAAATAAATAAGTAAAATATTTTTTAATTAAAGATTTTATTTATTTATTCATGAGACACACACACACACAGAGAGGGAGGTAGAGACATAGGCAGAGGGAGAAGGAGGCTCCATGCAGGGAGCCCCAACGCAGGACTCGATCTCGGGCCTCCAGGATCACGCCCTGGGCCGAAGGCGGCGCTAAACCACTAAGCCACCCAGGAATCCCCGTAAAATCTTTTTAATAAAAATCAGAAGGCCTTTCTTATATGCTTGGGCAAAGTAAGGGAGCTGAATCAGCGGTGACAAGTATTTCTGGAAAACTGTTTTCTCTCCAAGACGGTGTTCTTAGACGTAAGACAATGAAACAACAAAAGAAAAACAACAAAAACCCCTCTCTTTCTGAGCTACTTCCCAAAGAGAACTGAGCCCGGGGAGGGGCTCCAAGAGGCCACAGGGAACTGGGAGAGTCGTCCTTGCCAAGGGGAGCTCAGGGCCAGCCCTGGTGCTGCCATCTGAGTGACACAGTGAAGATGCTCCTGGGAGAGCCTGGCCTGTGGGCCTGGAATCGGGGGCCACAGGTGTGCCCACTTCGGAGCTGGAGGCTTCCAAAGGAGGGGGAAGCTCCCTGGATGTCAGAGGAAGCAAAGCACGAAGGGACTCGTGCAGTGTGCCCGGGGAGGACTTGGTGGTACCCTCGGTGCCTCCACAGTCCCCTCGTGCTCCTCGGAGTTCAGGGAGAAGGATCTCAGGGGCTCACAGAGAAGATCGGGGTAGCGGGGCTAGGAGCTAAGTCCCAGCCCGGGCTGCCCCTGCACCTGAGAAGGCTGCGGATGTCACCCAAACACACACAGCTGCCCCTCTGAGCAGGGCGGGGTGAGGCTGAGCAGCCACAAGAAACGCACACGTGTCATCTACTGGAGGGTGACCACATAGAAGACCACCGATCGCAGACGGGTGTCTCTCTCTGCTTTCTCTCCTCCCCGCACCCCGGTTCAAACTGGTGGTGTCCCTGCAAGGACAAGTCTGCAGGACGCCCCCCGGGGGCTGGCCCGGCCTGATGACTTCCTTGGACCGATGCCTGTGGGCCTGAGCGACAGCCTCGACTTTGGAACAGAACTTTTACCGTGAGTTCCTTTGTGCCAAGACTGGCAATCTCCCGGCTGGAAGCTCCTTTCACCAAGGTCCCGGATGGATGAGCAGCACCAGCGGGAGGAAGAAGCAACCCTTCGCTGCTGCAGGCGCGGAGGTGGAGAGCGTGTGTGTCAGCAGGGTGACCGGCCCTCGTCGCCTAGGACCTTTCCACTTCTGCACGGGAACCCCCAGACAACCCCTTAGTCCCAGACAGACGGGACGGTGGTCCCCTGGCTCCTGCCGCTGGCTCTATCCGTCGCCCTAAGCTGACCCCCACTGGCTGGATGGAGGAAGCGCAGATGGAGGCCCGGAGGCGGAGGGAAAGGGGATATGTTCACCCTGGCCCAGTTTATCTTCACAATAACCTACTGTGATCACTCTCCCAGTTTTCCAGGGAAGCGCTGGGGAGGCAAAGCTGCGTGGCCATAGATGACACAGCGAGTGGGCACGGGAACCCGACGTGTCTGGCTCCACACTGGTCCCTTCTGCCTGCCACACTGCTGCCAGTCCTGCCTCGGGCCCTCCCCAGCCCCCCAGGAAGGCAGGAGGGGGATGAGGAGCCCTCCCCTACCTGCCCCCCTCCTGTCCCTACCCTCGGCTGGGACAGCTGACGGAGTCCTGTGCAGACCACCTTGCGAAGCCCCAGATGGCCCTGGGGTGGTGGCTTTTGATGGTGCATGTCCATGAAGGGGAAATCGGCATCCTTGATCACCCTGTCTGCTGGCTGCTTACCGATCTGCTCCCCCCAAAGCCCCGAGCTCCCCAGGAAGGGCTCCTGCGTGGCCATGGCTGCATCCCACAGCCTTCGCGGGCCGCTGGGGGCACAGACGTGCTGCAGGCCTCAGCCCCGAGAGCCATGGCAGGTGGCCCGCTGCTGGTGGCGGCTCCAGGCTTACGGAGGGAATGGATGAGGGGCCGCTCTGGTCTGTCCAGGTGCTGGTGGTCCGAGGCCAGATGCTAGAAGGGCTCTGTCTCGCTGCAAGTCCCCCCCGGGCCCCCCACGGTCACTCTGACAGCCTGTGGGGAGTTCGGCTGCCCTGCTGTGTGCAACAGATGCCATTTAGAGAATGTTCGCCTGGGGAGACCTGATGTCTGCACCAAGGTAGCAGGTGTCTGCCTCAGGATCATTCAGCAAGCCTCTCTCTAGCCTCTGGGGCACTGGGGACACATGGAGGAAGGAGCAGTCCTAACGTTCAAGACTCCCTCAGTCTAGCTGGAGAGACAGGGTCTAAGTAAAGAGACAGGCAGGGCCACGCTTGCGGCTGCATGTGCAGCACGTTGCACAAGCCCAGGATGCGCCTCGGCTTCGGCCAAGCGGCCGAGGTTTGTAGGGCCATTCTGACAAATTTCCAGCAGGTGGCAGCCAAGTGACTTGAGGAAGGCGGCCCTTCTCTTGGCCGTGAAGCACAGGTGAGGCACAGGGGCGGACAGGAGGCGAGAATAACTGATCAGCTGGTGTGTGTGGCGGGGGCAAGGGGAGGAGAGAGAACCAGGAATGCCGCAGGTGCTTGCCCGGTGCACGGGGTGGTCGGAGGTCTGTCCTGAGCCAGGGAGAGAAGCGCTTGCCGTGGCTGTCAGGGGCCCGAGAGCCTGTTTGTGGTACTTGGGGACCCGGTCCTACTGGTAGCGCTAGAGGCTTGGGAACCCCGAAATCGAACACAGAGCAAGGAGGCTGTGTTTGGAAGCTCAGGGCTTGGAGGGCCGGCTCAGAGGGTCTCGC